AAAAAATAGGGAACCACCCCTCACGCTCCACCTCATGATGCTTAATCGACGTAATCAACCTTAATTTGATTTGGTTGTTTAGGAAGAGGGGAAAGTTGTGGCTGGAGAGGGAGAGAGAGAGAGAAACAAGGGGAGAACGATACCAATAGCTAGTTGTGAGATGTGAGAGATTTGTGACGTTTAGCGTGGGTGTATAATTAGTGTGTTGTGCTATCTTCTGTAGTTAGTGCATATTGTAATTGTTGTTTTGTGAGTGAGGGTACTAACGAATGTCACAAAGGCAGATTGTAAACACTGTCTCCAGGTGGAAAAACAGGAGGAATGATACACCTCCTGCTGTCAGGCCTGCAGGGTTTATCCCTGTGGTGTTTTCCTCTGTCTACCATCACTTCCAGTACTTCCTGTTTTTCTTTATGCTAAAGATAGTTCTTAATGGCTTTGGCTGTATGTTTGGGGTCATTGTCCTGCTGCAGAATACATTTGGGGTAAATGAACAATCTTTATATTTCTGAAACCATTCTTTGCTCAGAGCATTTTTTCCACACCTGCCTAAAACTTTTGCATAGTACTGTATATTTGCATTTCAAGTTATGAAAACAATTTACTAAACATGTCTGGTTGTAACCGTAAAAAAAAAGAAGCTACTACTAGGATTTTATGTTTTTGTGTGATTTAAGATCAGTTGTGTGAATACAGTACGTCAATGAAAAAATAACTGTAAATTCAGACATTTGAGGTTATTAACAATAAAGTTGGAGAAGGGAAGTTTAGAAATCAAGTTTAAATAAGTAAATTATCAACTTTTTCTACAGGAATGCTAACAACTCATCAAAATTTAAGGACATCATCACTAAAAGTGATCTGATCTGTTCACGACCTCGTGCTGTCTACCAGCTGAGACCAAAGAAAGGGAATTTTAAAACTCAACAGAAAAAAATGACTGTTGGTGAAAAAAATCCAAAGAAGAAAAATAAAACCATCTTACTTGTCGGTGAAACAGGAGCAGGAAAATCTACTCTGATCAACACTCTGTTTAATTACAGCATGGGAGTGAAGTGGGAGGATCAAATCTGGTTTCAGATCGTACAGGAGGAGGAGAAAAGTCAGGGAAAAAGTCAGACATCTGATGTAATCGTGTACGAGATCTTTGATTTTGAAGATAAAATTCTGCCCTACTCTCTGACCATCGTCGATACTCCTGGATATGGAGATACCAGAGGGTTTAAATGTGATGACATCATCCGTGAAAGATTATTGGACTTGTTTCGATCAGATGATGGAGTTCATGAAGTTCATGTGGTGGGTGTGGTGATGAAGGCGAGTGATAATCGACTGAGTGACCGACTGATGTACAGCTTTGATTCAGTGATGTCTCTGTTTGGAAATGACATGGAGAAAAACATTGTAGCTCTTATCACACACTCAAATGCATTAAAACAAAAATCTGCAATCAACATTCTTAAGGCTGGAAAAATTAAATGTGCCAAAAATGAGAAGGATAACCCAGTTTACTTCCTGTTTGATAACTGCCAGGATGCAGGGCAAACAGAGGAAGAGGATGAAGAAGAAGAGGAGGAGGAAGAAGAAGTCTTAGAAGCATTGTGGTGTGCTGATAAGATTTCAACAAAAGGCATGACAAAGTTCACAGAGTTTCTGGGAAAAACTGAATCTCAAAAACTGAAGACAACTGCTCAAGTGTTGGATGAACGAATTAGACTGACAGCCTGCATCCAAAACCTACAAGAGAGAATCAACCTGACTGAGCTGAAACAGTCAGAAATCAGACAGATTCAAGAAGCTCTGCAGGAACATGAAGAAGAGATGAAGAAGAATAAAGAGTTCACTGTAGAAATTGATGAAGTCTACAAAGAAAAACAAAATATCAAAAGTGGAACTAAGTGGTTGGTTTTTTATGAAGGAGCTGTCTGCTGTACAGTCTGTGAGGAGAACTGTCACTATCCTGGCTGCACAAAGGCCTGGAAACCTCAACACTGTGAGGTCATGAGAGGAGGCCGATGCACTGTTTGTACCGAGAAGTGTCCTGCATCAGATCATGTGAAAGGAAACTGGATCTATGCGATCAAGACAAGGAGAGTTCAGAAGACGATAGAAGATATAAAAGAGAAGTATGGCAAGCATAAATCAGAAAGTGAGAACAGGTTGAGTCTTTTGGAAAATCTTGAAAAGGAATTGAACCAACTGACAACAGAGAAGTCAAAGTTACTGGATGAGTCCTACCAACATATTGTCACACTGGAGCACCTCGCTCTCAAAGTTGATACTTGGTCCACTATTGTCCACTTGGACCTCCTGATTGAGAAGTTGAAGGAGAAAGGAGACACAGAGAAGGTCCAGAAACTGGAGGCGATGAGAAGCAGAGTGGATGAAGGAACCAGAGCAGCTCTGAGATACAGACAGGTACAGGTACCTATGTCTAGGTAGAGTGAAATAGGTAAACAAAAAAAAAAGTGAACTAAAAAAACTCAATTTCATTACATTTGCTTAACGAAATCATGAAAACTTTGTGAAAAGAGAGATTTCTAAGTGATATCTTTTGCTTTAGTGAAAATCTGTTTTTACCTCGGTCTAACTGTCATTACAGTCTAAATACAATTATACACTTTGATCCACCTACTACTCAAGACTTTGTTTAAACAAATCCTTTATTATAACCCCAGAAGGTGGAACCATCTGCACTGTTAGAGTCAACAGTAGCTAGCCACCACATAGCACATCATTATATACCAGCTAGCCCAACTTCAGTAACCCTATAAACACCACTGCTGTTTAGTTTTCTCTCTTGTCTTGTTTGCCTTTTTCATGTTAAAGTCCAGGTACAGTCATGAAAGTGCTCAGTTCTTCTTATTCATCAGTATATTCAATATCCATGTGGTGCAGGTCCTTTCTCATTGCACTGTAAATAAAACCATTGCATTGTTTTCTTGTTATGTATTCAGAATGTTGCTTGGTAGTTAACTGTAGCTCAGCTGTATTTGTAGTAATTTCAACTTCTACCTGTAAAACACAGTAATAACACTGTTACTGCAAGATTTCAGTGGGATCTGTAGTCATTGTTATGCTCCTGTCATAATTTAGTTTGTTCAAATTCTCTATATTCTGTCCCTCCACATTAAATTATCTCCTTCTTGATGGAGTTTTGTATGAATTATTAATAAAAGCTCTGCTTCATTCAATCAGTTGGCTCAGTATCTTCACTGGATTATCAGCTGATTTTAAGTCTCGTGAAGTTTCTGCTGGACTTTACTAAATATCTTTTTCACTTGAAAATAGGACTAACTTGCCAAGATAACAACTGTGTTGTAAAACTGATGAGGATGATTTAAAGGCTCCTGTCAAGGAATAAAGGTCATTTATGAATAGGCAACAGAAAATCTATCTTAAAAAAAGATATGTTTTCTTTAACTTATTGACATACGTTTTCAGCAGTTCATATCTTTTCTTCTGGATTTTTATCTCTGCTGGCAACTAGACCAACACATGTGGAGTCCCCCAGGATTAGGTATAATTTTCTTTTATCTTAATAAGAACAATAACATAACTGCATAATTGTAATGTACCTGAAAAATAAGACTTTCCCAGAGTCTCTCACTAACGCCGACCGTGAAGAACCTGGGACATTAGCTTAGAAATAGAGTCCATTATCATAAAGCAGTGGTTCTCAAACTTTTTACAATCAGTACCACCTCATAAAATATATGGCTCTTAAAGTACCACCCTTACGACTGACATTGAAGTACAGTAGTATAGTATCATTGTGATGTTGTTTATTCTATTACTCTTGTTCTCTTCTGCTTGTTTTCTTTTTTCTTTCTCAGCAGGTGATCCAGGTGATTGATATATGCATTTTTTTTCTTTTTTCTTTTTCTGCTCATTCTGTTGGTTTTTGTTTTTTGCCCTTCTCCCCCGTCCCTCTTCTCAGCTGTTTCTCTTTCCCTCTTTCTTTCTCCCCTTCTTTCCCCCAGTCAAGTCTGTCCCGTATTCAGTAAGTGAAAATAAAATAAACAATAGAAGGTGAATCAAATGGACCATTACGGTAAGGCTGGGATGGTCAATTTGGTAAAGTAAATCCGTTGGGCATCTTTCTTTGCCTTTAGACAATAATTCTGATGGCAAAAGAGCCAAACGGGACAGGCAAAAAAAAACAAAAAAACAGTAGTATAGGCCTATTTAACACCATATACAGTTTACACAAGACAATTTTATTTCTATATATATGAATCTTATTTATTTTAACTGTCATAAACAGGATGTGAAACAACTGTACAGCATTAAAACAGCAGGTGGGATATCCAATCTTTAAGTGATGACGTATGAACCCTGCTTCCGGATCAAAACTACTCTGCGGTTATCAAGGCTTTTGTGTTTTTAACATGTTTTAAAGCTTTGTATCTTGTTCTATTTAATCCGAACAAACCCCTAAAAAACGGCAGTGATCACTGTCGGCCTCTCTTGGTTTTTATTACCAGTGTTTATTTTAAAGCTCAGTTTTTAAAACCTTACAATGTAACTACAGCCCAGCCCATGTTGTTGCAGTATATTAATGACGAACCTCTTATTGTGGATGGGTTATGTCAGTTGTTCTCCTGACTGAAGTTTGGTCCGTTTACATTATCCCAACATGCAATTGCATGTGTCCCTAACCATTGGGAACCCTTGTGTTACCTGTTATTGAGAGAAAAAAAAGTTAGCGTTCATCCTCTAGCTTCACTTTGTGTTTATATTATGCCAACATAGCTGTGTAGCTAGCCACCTCATACCACATCATTATATATCAGCTAGTCCACCTTCAGTAACTCTACAAATGCCACTGCTGCTTAGTTTTCTGTCTTCATTTATGTCTGAAGTGATACCAGAGCTGTACATTTGAATTTTTCAGAGATCCCTCAGCCAGAGCATGGTATATCATTTAATCTTATAAAATTGTGTAGATACTCATGTTATTGTGCATTACATACATTCCCTGTGTTTACATACATTCCCTGTGTTGGTACCCTTGAACTTATTTTATCTTTATTTATCTAATTCTCTTATCCTAAGAATGTGAATATAAAAACCTACAAGCTATGTAGAAATGCCAAACTGTGTTTCACTGTTCTGATAACAGTGACAATAAAGATCTATTTTTTGGAGACTTCCCACGTACCACTAGAGGGAGCCAACGTACCACCAGTGGTACGCGTACCACAGTCTGAGAACCACTGTCATAAAGAAACAACCAGCTGCTAACAGAAACTCTACCAAAGGACAAAAAAGAACACTTGTTACTTGAGATCTGATTTTGTTGGTGATAGTTTGAATGAAGAAGTAAGCTTAGTTAGCTATAGGGCTGCTCAATTAATCGAATTTTAATCACGATTACGATCTGGG